CTACTGGGGAGGTCCAAGGGCTTGACAATGGTTCGATGATGTCTTTCGATAGCATGTTCCCCACTTCCTTCTGAATCACTGCTTGTTCTGATGTGGACACACGGTAAGGCCGACGGTGGACGGGCGCAGAGTCACCAGTGTTAATTTTGTGCTTGACAATATTAGTCTGGCCCAAGGGACGATCACAGATATAAAAAATTTCACTGTAGAAGGCCAAAACGCGGCAGAGAGCGTTGGCCTGATGAGGCGGAAAGTCTGGTCCAATCATTTTCCGAAAGATGGCTTCGGCAGAACCGGGTAACTGTGAGACCTCGGCTTGGTCCGGAAAAGTTACAGTGACAACGTTTATGTCATCATCTCTTATGGCAGTGAGTTGAGCAAGCAACATCTGGTAGGGCAACACTTGAGGAATGAGGCCGAAATTTAGGAGTGGAAGAAACACACAGTTGTCCACAATGGTGGCGATGGTATGCGGCACTGTAACACTGTGTGTTATTCGTACGTCTGTTATCGGTGTAACGATGTAGTCTTCATCGAGAACTGGAGGGGTTGATGACAGACAGACGTATCTCACAGCTCGAGGCGGCAAAAGAACAAAAGTGGTTGGACCCAAGCGACCGACGGGCTTTTCACAGGCATCAGAGAGGAGGGGAAGGTCGAGACTGAGCGTGCCAGAAGAACAGTCAATTAAAGCCGAGTGTGCCGAGAGGAAATCAAGGCCTAGTATGATGTGATGGGGGCAAGGATCTAGAAGGGCAAAAAGGACTACGGCATGACGACCAGCAATGTTGACATGAGCAGTGCACATTCCGACGACTTCTACAGCGCCGCCATCGGCAACACGTATGGCTTGAGTCGTAGAGGGCGTCATGATCTTCTGCAAAATGCGGTCTAGATGAGCGCTCATAATAGATAGGTGGGTGTCTGTGTCAACAAGGGAAGTAACAAGAACATTGTCGACTTTTACTTCAATGAGACTGTGGTGTGGGGGCAGCGTCAGTAGAGGGTTTTCGGGCATCATTGGTATAGCAGCTTCACCTCCATAAGCTGCAATATCTAGTTTTCCTGCTGCGATCGTGCAGAGAAGCTTGGCGAAAAAGCGCCGAGGCAGCAGAGAGCGGGATTGGCGGTGAGCGGCGGCGATGAGCGGCGACGGTGAGCGGGAGTAGCGGCGACCGGAAAAGGGGCGTCAGTGGGGAAAAGATTATGAGGAGGCGGCGAGTAAAAGTAGGACAGTGTAGCGACTGGACGTCCAGAAGTGGTAGTGCGCATATAAGTAGGATAGCTATGACGTGGTGGGTTGGACCAGCGGCGGTGGCAATAACGAGAAATATGTCCAGGTTGATGACAGAAAAAGCAGATAGGCTGGTTGTCAGGGGTTCGCTATTGCATAGGGTTCTGGAAGGGCAATGATGGAGGAGATCGGTGAGCGTTACCTGGGGGGTATGGGCGTACTTCAGTGTGGGTCACGGGACACGCTGACGGAAGATCGATATTAGCGAACTCCCGCCTTACCACAGTTTGAATTAAGGCTACTGATGGGTGTGATGGGTCAGTGGCTTGGGTTGTAAAAACAGGCTGTTGAATGGGACCTGGACAGGCAGCTTCAAGCTCCCGACGAACGATTCGAGTGACGTGGTCATAGGTGAGTAGTTGGTGAGTGGCTTCACAAGAAGTTGCGGCCGTGTTGGGCAGTTGTGTGAATTTCTGCATGATATTGCCCCGCCGCGGTGGTCTAGTGGCTAAGGTACTCGGCTGCTGACTCGCACGTCGCGGGTTCGAATCCCGGTTGCGGCGGCTGCATTTCCGATGAAGGCGGAAATGTTGCAGGCCCGTGTGCTCAGATTTGGGTGCACGTTAAAGAACCCCAGGGGGTCGAAATTTCCGGAGCCCTCCACTACGGCGTCTCTCATAATCATAAGGAGGTTTTGGGACATTAAACCCCACATATCAATCAATCAATTTCTGTGTGATACGGCGGCTCTTGAGGTGTTCAAATCCCTGGAACTCTTTGATGATTTCATCGATGATGGTGACGTTAGTGTATACAAGCAGGTTGAAGGCATCGTCAGCAATGCCTTTGAGCACATTCGATACCTTTTCAGGCTCAGGCATGTGTTCGTCAACCTGGCGGCAAAGGGCAGTGACGCCGTGATAATACGCGACATAGGATTCGGTAGATGTCTGTGCCTGAGTAGCCAACCGATTTCGCGCAGTTATCTGTCGTGCAGCGGTGTTCCCAAAAAGGTCACGGATGTTCTCCGTGAAAGTTTCCCAGCTGGTAATGTCGGCTTCGTGCATCTCGAACCACACCCGCAGAGGGCCATCAAGGTAAAAAGCATCTTGGCAAGCTTGAGTGTCCTGTCCCACCTGAAGCTGGCGCTGATCTGTTCATACACGTTGAGCCACTTGTCAACGTCAAGGCAAAATACGCCAGGATCATGAACAGAAGGTAGGACAACGTAGGTAGGAGTTACAGAAAAGGCGGGTGGTGAAGACGATGTTCCTTGAACTTGTAACATGGTAGGACCCGTGATGATGTGGCTGTTGCGGAGCTTCATGATTGGTACAGGGAAGGACCAGCACATCCACCACAAATATGTTACTTAAAATGACACGGGACATGACTATTTGCCAGTGTATTTACACCGATAAAATCGGAGCGCAGCACACAGAGCGAGCAAACCAGTCCTCTTCGTTATCTTCTGTCCACAGAACGGTTCACCCTTCATGCGATAGCAACATAGCAATATAAAGCCAGTAGAACAGCCACCACTTCAGATGAAAAAGAAGCAAAAATAGTGTGCTTGTGCCCCCGGAATGAGACTGCTGCCTTAATGAGTTTTTACTGTAATGAGCTTTGAATGTGTGTGCTTGCGTGGGCGCACTGACGATCATGCTGCGGCTAGCTTGTTGGTGCAATATTATTCACTTCCTTATGTCACTGCTTTTGTACATAATCTTGCTTTTATTTTTTGTGCTTATTTTATGGGCTTGCTGCTTATGTATAAATGTATATGTAAACTGAGGGAACATTAAGCTAAATTAAGGCTAAATTTTATTCCTCTGTGTGTGGCATGAAAAGCCCTTGCATGCTCCAAACACAGAGGTAGGTGCTCCAAAAGCAGACTTTGCCTGTTCCGATAGCCACTCCAAAATACTGGAAGGCGTTCCTACCACTGGACCACTTTATTGCGATTATCCGCCGATAGCAATTATATGCACTCTCTCGGCTGCATTTTGCTGCCGGCATCATTCACCGTATACGTATACGTATCTATATATATGAAAGCGCAACAGAGAAAGATAATCTAGAAAAAGACTCCGGCATGCAAGATTGAACGTCCTACCTCTTGCTTGTGAGTGGGAGGCATTAATCATTGAGCTAAGAAAGGGTGCCTCTTTCAACGTCAAAACGTCAAGGTCTTTATATCTACCACTTACCCCTGGCGATTGCCACATAGGGGGAACTATCGTGTTTTCAGTATTACCAGCAAGATGGCGTAATGAGCGCACGTCTCCTAAAGCCCGTGTCACCAGATTGTCACGACGTGGCGGTGGCGCGTGTGCGCCTTTATCTCGAATGAAGAGAACTGTACGCTTTGAGATTTCTCACCAGAACGATTCTGTTGTAGTTACCAGGCACACAAAGATCATTGCACAGTCCCTGTTTGCAAAAATGGCGCGCTTTTCAGACACAGCGAAGTAACAACTGAGACATTTATTCGTGTTCATCTCTGCCTGTGAGTACGTTTCGTGCGTGAATTGTGCATGAGAAATGCGGGGCATGTTTCGATCTGCTTGCCATTCGTTGGGTGACCTTCCAATTTATTCCTATCGCGTTCATTGCTTCGCCTTTGCGGCCAAGGTGTTACTTTTTTATTTTTCGATTACTCATGCATTTATACGCCGCGTAATTGTCAGTACTAGTATGATTTTTGATGTCTAGAAAGGTTACTGGCAGTCATTTGGAGCAGTGTAGGACATTTCTGCAGCCCTAAAAAAAAAACTGTGTCAGTTTTTTTTAATGCCACTCCTATTTCTCAGTTTTAAGAATCTCTTAGAGACAGTAAGATTGAACGTGTTGGTATAACATGATAAAGAGTGCTTAACAGTGCAAACGACAGGAGAGGATCTCTTGTCGTGTGCGCAGAAATCTTTTGAATTTCAGAGTCCCCACTTTGGCAGAACAACATTTGAACTTGCAGAGTCTGTCTAAAGATATGCAGGTGTGGCAAATGCTAATGTGGACTTCATCATAGCCTACACTGTAGGATGGGTCATAATACTATTTTTATAAAAATAGCAGTTGTCAAGTTTAGTCTGAACAATTTAGATGGTGTTGAAAAGTTCGTGCATATTTTTTTCTTTTTCGTAATGTAAGCTTATATAATACTGTTCCAAATTTCATCTTTCGTGATAAAAATAGATGCTTTTTCATAGTAACCTGCTCTAAATTAGGATTTTAGTGCTCCAAAAGTAACATTTTGCTGCTCCAAAGTTTGCTCCAAATTCTATTTCGGCCGTTGCACCCCTTAATATATGTGTGTGTGTCACCGCCCTGCCAGGGCCCTCCCCCCCAATGATGGGAGAATTTGGGTCCTGCAATTAAAACAAAAACTAAATGCAAGCGAACAGGAACAGCCAGGATAAAAGCAACACCATGTGCTTGGTTTGGAGTGAATGTGGGACTTGGCAGCAAAGAGAATTCAAGTCTCTTGAAAAACTGAGAGACAAATGAAGAATATTCCCCAATTCGTAAATGAATTAGAATTCAACGATAAAGTAACAAAGATAGGGTACTTTACAGTAAAGTATGGGCTGTAAAAGAAGACTATTGGTTTGAATTTTTATGATTTGGACAGAGGTGTACCTTTCATTTTATCATTATGCTCTCGTGATATGTTTCACGCCTGATACGATAGTATCTGCTTTTGAAACGAGCAGATTGTTTGGCCAGCTTGTACTGATAATAATGCACCAATTCACTCACTTCTTAGGTATGCTAGTGGTGCCACCATTCTGGCGTCCAACGAGCGGGCTGCACAGCGCACCCACAAAGCTGTACTGCGGGTAAAGCCGATGCAGATAGCATACACCACTGCATGGTGAGCCTTCAGTTTTGCAAAAGTGTCTTTGTATTGAATCTATTCATTGACCAGAAAAATATGCATGGCATATAAAAATATTAAGCAGTCGCATAATACTTCGGACTACCACCTTTATCTCTTTCCTGTCTGAGAGAAAAAAAAAAAGTAAAAATGCTGATTTGCTCCAAAAGTAGTGTTATTTGATCTGTTTTAATAATCTTTTCAAAAGTTGAATGGGAAAAATTTGAGTATTTGACTGATAAAAGAGACCTACACATATGTGTGGGCTGAGATTTTGTTCTTGTGATCGGCTGCTGTGGGAAGTACCCTCAGAATGGCTAATCGAAAAAAATGAAAAAACATTTCAGCCCTGCGCATGGAAAATTTTGGAGAATTTTTGGCCACTCTAGAGGGACATGTTGCTTGCATCTTCCACACAAACTAAGACCTGGAAGTGTGCAGTGAAGTCCTAATCTTACTTTCATATGCATATACTGCTGAAAAAACATGTAAATCAGGGATGCACGTGCTAGGGCGCCATTTTTGATGGGTGATTGCTCACCCCTCTGGTGACGAAATCGATGAACTACTGAAACAGATCTCTTCTCGCAAACGTTGACATGAGTAGCACGCAGTTATGAAACCAAAACTGAAGCATGGGCTGTTCAGTGAGCGTTGTTATTCACCCACATGTTTGTGCATGTCAGGCCGTAAAGGGTTATGACAGTGCTCACACATGAGCATGTAGTTATGGTGCGCTCAAAGAAGTGTTTAAAAATGAAAAGAAAAATATTTGTACTGATATTGCATTTGGCTTTCTTATCTTGTATTATATTCCATATATAATAAAAAGAAAGGCAAGAAGGGTAAGATGGAGCTCGGTTATGAGAAATTCGAAAACAGGGGGTGGGTTTCGACAAACGGACTTGTCTTTTTCAAGCTTGTGTGTGGGTGCGCTTTGTGTCCCTATCTAAACAGAGGAGGAAGAAAGGGCACCGTGGCGAATTGGGTGCGTCAGAAGAAAAAGGGTATTCAGTGATAAGAAAAATTTAGTGTTGGTGGGGGGTGTGTGCGTGTCACTGATTTAAAGTTTTTTGAAGAAAGAATCACTTAGAATATCCTATAAGGAAGACTTGACATTTAACGGTCTCTGCTACTCATGTACCATACCGCATGGACTCAAGAGCCTCTTTTGAAACATTCATATCTACTGGCTGAGGTGTATTAAAGGGATCGATAGCTGCCAAGAACGTGAAATGAGATGACACCTCTGATGGAAAGGTTCTCTATTGCACTGACTCAAACCAACGCTGTTTTGTGTGTGTGTGTGTGTGTGTGTGTGTGTGTGTGTGTGTGTGTGTGTGTGTGTGTGAGAGAGAGAGAGAGAGAGGTGAATTCATATCTCATACTTTATTGAAAGTTGGCAGCACTGGCAGTAAAAACATGTTCTTACTCTATGAAAATGTACATTATAGGGTCAGGCTCTTGGAGTGAGCGGACACAGCAGACGCGATTGGAATGAAACAAACGACACACATTTATTTAACTACTTTTAGAATGATGATATCGTCAGCTGAATTATTATAACATTAATTGTCATCAACACGCTAAAACAACCGGACACAAAACTCAGCATAACAAACACAAAGCGGCGAACACTTGACTTACCACGAGGGCCCGCGAGCGACGAATCGTGGTGCCGCTCCAACAAGCCCACCGTGAAAGACAACCGTTCGCGCCAACCGTCCCCAGCCAAAGAGACCCGCTCATTTCTCCCGTGCCGCCACTAAGGTTTGCAGCCAGGTGTCACTGCCGGCGCCACCGTTTTAATCATGATGATGATGGTGGTGCTCGCGAGCACCACGCCATCTACCGCCATCATCATGATGATGATGGTGGTGCTCGCGAGCACCACGCCATCTACCGCTCGGTAGTTGTATACCCGAAATGCGGCCAATGCACGAAACACTTACGGCACGAGGTGCAAACAACTTTACAGGGGGTGTTAGCACCCTTACAACATATAGGTCTGTGTACACACAGTTTCAAGGCCGCTAAATTTTTGGAACGAGTTAGTTTTTTCATCTACTCTTTGTCTCAGAAATTATGCACACTGCCGTGTGTAGTGACTTTTTCGATGACTTGGTTTAGCGCATGTATCCAGTCACCACCCACGACACTGCAAACAAGGTATCTTTGTCAGACAAGCAAGGCGGATCAGTAGTGATGGTGGCAACCATGTTCACCACTTAAACAACCTAAAGAAAACGTTGGTGAAAGAAATTGGTGGTGAAAGTACAATGCCCTAGGCAAGGTCCACAAGCAGCACGTAACTTGGACCGGAAATCAGTGATAGCTATAAAAGCCCCCATAGCACAACCAAACCAGCTGCTTGCATTTCTGAACAAATATTTAAGTGCGCTTACAAACATTACTAATATTCTCTGCAAACATTATTCAATATTGAAATACCTCGGTTCAGCTGACGCTTTATTCAAGCAACAGCAAGATGGCGCTGATGTTAAAGAGAGACGAAGCGAAGACTGATGATGGTTATTGACAGATGAGGAAGATAAGTCCAATCAATTCTTAAACTAATTTCCCCTGTGGACGGAAGCGGCCAGCCTGGCCGCAAATTACGCTGTGGAACGCATACAATAGGGCTTGAGATGCGAAACGTGCACAATCTCTGTCCCACGGCAGTGTTGGTCAGTGGGGGCATGAACAGGTGTGATACGGTAGCTCACCGGTGAGGTCTGTTCGACAACTTTGTAGGGGCCAAGATAGCGCGACTCAAGCTTCTCGCATAAGCCAGGCGTTCGTGCAGGAGTCCACAGAAGTACATCGTCGCCAGGGCGGTAGAAAACGACGCCGTGAGTGGCATCGTAACGATGTTTGCAATCTTTGCTAGCTTCGGTTTTTACACGGGCAAGACGACGGCATCGAGCAACACGGGACAGAAATTGGTCGCAAATGAGTGGTGAAGAGTTGACGGGGCCAGAAAAGAATGAAACGTCGAGTGGTGATGTCAGTTGGCGTCCGTATACTAGGAAAAATAGAGAACAAACTGTGGTTTGTTGAACTGACGTATTATATGAATTTGTGACAAAGAAAAGAATGGCGTCCCAATGGCGATGGTCCGGTCGGATATGTATGGACAGCATGTCGCACAGCGTGTGATGAAATCTTTTCGTTAAGCCATTGGTTTGTGGGTGATAGCTAGATGTTTTATGAATTGTTTTTCAATGCTTGAAGAACTTCACTGAGCGTGCTTGAAAGAAATGCCTTGCCCCGGTCGCTCAAAAGAACACAATGGGCTTCGTGACGTAGGAAAAAAGCATTCAAGAAGAAAGTTGCTACTTCGAAAGCAGTTCCTGAAGTGATCGAGGCCGTCCCAGCGTACCGGGTCAAGTGATCAACCGCGGTGGCGATCCATCTCTTGCCGTCTGATGTAGTTGGTAGGGGCCCGAAGAGCTCAATTCTGACTACAGAGAATGGCTCCCCTGGGCAAGGAAGTGGTTGTAGTGTCCTGACTGGAGCAGTAGTGGGCCGCTTGCGGCGTTGGCAAAGTGCGCATGAGGCAATATACTTAGCTACCGTCGTGGAAAGACCTGGCCAGAAGAATCGACTGCGAATGTGCTCGTAGATTTTCTAGTAACCAAAGTGGCCTGACATTTAGGTCGTAGAACTTCAGTGCGTAGAACTTCAGTGCGCAGAACTTCAGTGCGCAGAACTTCAGTGCACGCAGAACTTCAGTGCACGCAGAACTTCAGTGCGTAGTGCGCGTGGTACAACGGGAACCCATGGATGGCCTTCAGGGTGGAAAATGTATCGATAGAGCACATCGTCCTTCAATTTGAATAGCCGGAGTTGTTTCCGGAGCCTGGCACTTAGGGAAGATTAAGCACCGGTAAGCCGACCGATGAGGTCAGTGCAATAAGAATCGGCTCGCTGGAGAGGGGTAAGCACTGATGGATGCGTGGATGAAGATAGGGAAGAAATGGATGATATCCATTTCTTCCCTACCGTTTAGAAACAAGTTGTTTCTAAACGATGACGTTTATGGGTGGGACGACACAGCTGGTCGCAGGGTGTTTCTACGTAAGTCTTCCCGCTCGAAAAAATGACAAAACCAAAATAAAAGTGAGCATGCGCAAAAGACTTTCCGATTGCTGTGCCTGAATGCTCAAAGTGTATGCAACAAGCAAGAGCAACTCGAGCACCTTTTGCTTTCTTACGTCCCACACGTAGCAGTAATATCGGAGACATGGTTGCACCCTAAAATTCCAGATAATTGCATATTTCCTCCTTCATACTCATGTTATCGGAAAGATCGTCAAACAAGAGGGGGCGGAGTTGCTATCCTTGTTAAACGCGAGGTATCGTCCGTTTCCTTGCCTGATATTAATAGCTGCCACGAAAGTGTTTTTTGTAAAGCTGTAATTGCTGGTAACCCTATTATTATTGCGGGAGTCTATAGGCCCCCTGGCGCCCCACCGGCTTTCTTGATAGACCTGTACGAGCACTTAGAAAAATACCGAAATTAAAACATCATTATTGCAGGTGATTTTAATATGCCAGGCATGCATTGGGAATCAATGAAATGTGGTTCTATTGATGTGCAGAGTGCTGAAATATTACTAGACATGTCGCTTACTTACTCCCTTACGCAAACAGTCCTTGATCCTACGCGCGTGACAAGTTCAGCTTCTTCAATACTAGATCTCGTTTTCTGTTCCACAAGTTTTGAATCCTGTATGGCAACAGTTTTAGATGGCATTTCTATTTATTTATTTATTTATTTTATCACATACTGCGGACCAAGTATGGTCCGCAGTATGTGGTAAATGGCATTTCTGATCACAAATTATGTATGTGATCACAAATTATGTATGTGAGTATGTGATAGATGCAATTTCTGATCACAAATTGGTCAATTTCAATTGTTCTTTACCTCGTAGAACAAGGTCATCTAGACCTGAGCCCATAGTTGTAAAACAGTATTCTGCTGCAGACGA